AATGGGCAGAAGACTTTTCACAAAGGAAGATGTTTGGATGACAAAGATTCACATGAAAAAATGCTCAAAATTATTGGAAGTGCTTTTACCATTTTTTACATTTAATTACATAGAAATAGGTATATATTCAGTAACAAAAATACTGGAAAAGAACATTGATATATAATTGAAGGGTTTTTTTACCTATTCCTTAATAGAAAAATTCATTCTGTTAATTTTTTACAGGTGCTTTTCAATGGGAAGCATTGGAAGAAGATATCAGGAAGAAGTTGAAAGATTCGGGAGATGTTTCCGATGTAATTGAGAAAGTTAAATGTATTTTAAAAACACCAGGAAAGGTAATTTAATTAATTGTAAATAGCTTTATTTGTCATTCTTTGAATTAAAGTTGATATGCAATTATGAGTATGTTATGAGAGGAGTTAAATAATATCTTCCATTTATACAGAATAATTTAAATATAATTAACATAAGTATGTTACTTCTCACTAGTTTAAATTCAATGCCTACAAGAATGAAAATGTTATTGCTTTGTATATTATAGCTTCAGAGCGTTCATTTGTGAATTTCATCCTCTGAAACATTCTCTTGATATAATATAATCTGTGCCAAGAATGAAGATCTGTTCAATTTGTATTTAAAAAGCTCCAAACAAACCAGCTCCACTGACATCACATTATAGTGCAGCCTTTTTGGACAGAGTACATCTGCCCTGTAGAGTCTTCAAGGCTGTAAATCTTTACAGAAGCCAACTGCCACATCAGTCTCCTGCAGACTGATGGTATTGAACTGTTAACCTTTTGTTTGGCAGCCTACCTTTCTGACCACTACATCACTAGGGCTTCTTGTAGGAGAAGGATGGGCAGTCTCCTCCGGTATGACTAACTGGTTCTAAAAATCCACTGGAGGGTCAGTTATGAACCAGTTCTGACTCAAAGGCAAACAGCAATCACTTTATTTAAAGAGATACTTTCTCCCTTCTACATTTAGTTTCTAATTATCTGTTTAACCAGGTGGGCAGTTAAGGATTTTTCTCTCCCAAAGTTATAAAAAAGATTCAGTGGTAACAAAAAATATACATGTGGCCGTAAACTTCTCCACATTAAAATGTTAGTCATATAGATTGAATCCAGTTTGTACAAGCTTTAAAAGTAGCTTTAATATTTGTTAAATTGTAAGACAACTACACTATACAGTTTAGCCAGTGTATTCTTATTTCAGATTTTGTGATAAAAAGACTAGAGTAGATAAGTACATAAGTTGTACTCATTACCTAGCAGAATACCGGTTTTAGCACAACCAATCTCTTGGTTTACAAAGGTTAGACTAATATATAGTGCATATACCAGCCCCACTTCTGCTCCAACTTTTTCTGTTAAACTGGTTTATAGTAGCAAACAAGTGCTACTTTAGAATGTGCTTCAAAACATTTACTGTTAGTATTGTATTATTGTGCTAAAGATATTTTATTGTATCTGGTGGTGTTTCTTTAACATTTTTGATGCTGAGATACATTATTTAATGGTAAAGTATTTAACTAACTGAAATGAAGTACAAACTGTATCTAAATATTCTGATTCACATACAGATTCAACTTAAAGCCATACTTGGAAGCAGAAGTTGGACACCATGGGAAAAACATGATTATTACGTTTTTACAAGTGACTTTTGCCAGTTCTGCAATCTTAAGTTATTAATATTTTCAACTTGATACTTGAAAAATATCAAACAGAACAAAGTCTTAATGACAAGTCCTGATTATTAAATGGGGATTTTTTTTTACCCTAACTTAAATTTTTTAAAATTTAAATTTATTATTAATTTCAGTAAAAATTTACAGAAACTTTAGATTTCCATTCATTTATAGTTGCACATTTCTCCCCTCTCAGCCTTCCCCCCCCAGAACACTACCCTCTTGGAAAAGTAAAAGAAAAAGTCTTTCATTGTTTTACAAACCCTCCCCCAGGTCTACTTCACCATGTAGCCTTCGCTCTAGACTCCTGTCATGACAAACATACCTAATCACATATCCCTTTTTAACGGTTTTCTCCCTCAGCTGTTTCAATGCAGTATACATTATTGAGTCCATCTTTCTCAGTCTCTCCCCAACCCCAAGGTCAGTCCTCTTTTACAACAGTGGCACCATGCAATATTTGTCCTTTTGTGACTGGGATACTTCACTCAGCATAATGTCCTCCAGAGTCACCCATTTTGAATATATTGTGTGAGTTCCTTGTTTTTTCAATGCAGCGTAGTATTCAGTTGTGTGAATATATCACAGCTTCTCTATCCACTCATTTGTTGATGGAGTATTTTTTTTAAACAAAGTAATCTACTTTGTTTTAAAAGTTACACGCTGAAGCAAGTGCAGAGTTGTCAATTTTTATAGGTGTGTGGGAGAGTGGCAGTTCTCTTGCCATTTCATTTGATTAATTAATCCTTCTGTAAACATCTGCATCTATAGTCTATTTTTCAGAGTTATCTAGATTAAGTTGTATATAGACCAGTGAAAATGTGCATCTGTGTTCATTTCAAACTTTAACTATTTTTTCAAATTCTAGATGTAAGACAAAACAGTCTGATCATGTTGTTTTTGCTCTGTGTCATCGACTACAACTCCTAGCAACCCCACAAACAACAGATATGAACCTGGCCCCATCCTGCTCCATCGTCACTGCTTGTCATAGGCTCAAACCCATTGTTCTAGTCACTGTGTCAGTCTAGTTTGTTGAGCATCTTCTCTCTTCCTCTGACCCTCCGTCTTTTCCAGCATCATTTCTTTTTCTGAGGACTAGCCTCTCCTGATAACATGCCCAGAGTGTGTAGGACAAGTTTCAGAATCCTTGCTTCTAATGAGCACGCTGGCCGCATTTCCTCCAAGACAGCTTTGCTTATTCTTTTGGCAGTTCATGAGATACTCAGTACTCTTCTCCTACAGCAAAACGCAAAGGCATTGATTCTTCTGTAATCCTTATTCATTGTTCCACTTTCAGATGCGTAGGAAAAAGTTGAAAATAACATAGCTTGATCAGATGCACCTTAATCTTTAAACTGACATTCTTGCTCTTAGCATTTTTGAAAAGTCTTTGACAGCAGGTTTTTCTGTTGTAACATGTCTTTTGACTTCATGACTGCTCTTATCATGGGTGTTGATTTTGGATGCAAGTAAAATGCAATCATTGGCAATTTTAATTTTTCCCCCCCTCTGCCTATCATAATGTTGCCAATTGATGGGTCCAGTGGTGAAGATTTTTAAAAATCATACAGATTCATAATTTATTTAAATACATACATGTTGTTTGCTATCCTAAAGAGTAGTAGTTTGAACCTATGAACTGCACTGTGGGAGAACAATGTGGTAGTCTGCTTTTGTAAAGATGAAAATCTTGGAAGCCTTTAAGGTCAGTTCCCCTCTGTTCTGTAGGGTCATTTGGAGTTGGAATCACCTTGAGAGCAATATATGAATGGTCAGGACAAAAGTGCTGTCTCTTACTCTGCATCTGGCTGGGCCTTTCCTTGACTCTCATTCTGAATGTCTTCCTTTAAGTTCAGAGAATAATATGATTCTTGAACTAAATTCCTTCTTTTGTACAAGAGAAGAGCACTTCCACTTGTTTTGGCTGTGCTTTCCTGTAAGAACCTCATTCATTGAGAAGAAGTGGGACACTGAATTGGGAATCAGGAATTGTACATGTGAGTTGTGAGTTGGCAGTGGATGGTCTCTGTTGCTAGTCAGCACACACCAGGGCTTTCTGTAAAATGGGAAATACACGGGATAAATTCTAATCATCCAGTGATGCTTTATGACTGTTCTTCTCCTACGTGACTCAGTGCTGTCAAGTCAGAACCGACTCATAGCTAGCTGACCCTCAGAGAGTTTTCAGAGGTTGTAAATGACATCTGAGGAAGTTGTCTATGTTTCCCCTGAAAGGATTTGAAATAGGTAGATTTCTGCGTAGTGGATTTGAACCACCCACCTTTGTGTTAGCAGTGCAATTAGATATATATGATGGTTTTAAACTGTGTGTAGGATTTGATGGTGTACTTTATAGGACAGAATTTTTTTCTTTTGTTTTAAATGTTTGTTTTGCTCATAGGTACTATTCCAGAGTCTGTTTTCTTTACTTTTTGAGGAGAGATAGTGCTGCTTTTTCCCCCTTAAGAAAGACAAAATTTCTCACTCTTGTCCACAGTGGATTACTCTAGTGTGAGGAGCAGATATCATTTCTTTTATCATTGCTAAATTTGTGCATTAGTTTGTTTCATAGAGGAAAAGTGTTCTGAGTCCGAAAGGTGTCCCGGCAGAAGCTCAGGCTCTGGGTTCTGACTGAAGCTGAGGTTCTGAGATTGAGTCTGGGATTTGAGTGGAGGATGGTAGAAGGACTGGCTCCCAACTTCTAGGTAGGGAACAAAGGGATGTCTGAAAATAACAATTGAGTGTAAGTGAAATTGAAGACCATCAAAAGGACAAAGGACTGACCTCTGAATGTGGTTCAGAGAAAGGATTCACAAGGTTAGACAGAGACACTTATTGGATACTCACAGCTAGAGTAAGTGGACACAAGGAGACAGATAAGCATGATCATGCTGTTGGTTTTAGGTGCCGTCAAGACATCTACAACTCATAATGACTGTCAACAATGATCTGACCCTTGTCCTGTCCTCAACCTTCCACATCATCTCTGAGCCGAGTGTGTCAGTCCATCTTGTTAAGAGTCTTCCTCTCTTTATATAATCTTTCCCTTGCCTTTCCAGACAACATGCCCAAAGTTTATGAGACAAAGCTTCACTTTTCCATCTCTAAGGAGCTCCCCAGTTTCACTTCTTCTAAGACAGACTTGTTTGTTCTTTTGGCTGCCTATGGGATATTCATATTCTTTTCTAACATCATTGTTTAAAAGCGTCAGTGAATCGTCTGTCATCCTTAGGCATTGTCCAGCTTTCACACCCATAATAAGAGATGTTTTTCAGGAGCTTCAATATCTTTCTATAGTAGACCTTTAACAAGATGAATCGACACAGCAAATGCAGTGGTGGAGTTTGAGCAGGGCAGAGATTGTGAGAATGGCATAGGATAGGACAAGATTCTGACCCATCATTTATAAGGTCACGATGAGATGTAATCAGCTCAGTGGAGCAGCAAAAACTTAAAAACAGCAAAAAGAGTCACTGTCAGCTAAAATTAACCAATTAGCAGTGGATTAGACTTCAAGTCTGCTTTGCAGAGGAAGATTTTTTCGGATTACAGTATTGTAGATAAAAATAGAGTTGAAATTATTTACCATTCTCAGGTATTTTTATATGCATCCTTTAGGAATACATACTGAGCTTGTTAGCAGTAGCAGGACATGCCACAATAGGAAAACCAAGAAAAGTTTCATTCTCTTAAGTACAAATAAAATATGTATCTATTTCCTTGCTTAATTAGTGACCAGAATAGCAGATTGCATGTGGAAATATACTACGAAGCAGGAGTGGCATCCATTTCCTAAAACAACATGACTCTGGAAACTCTATGAAATTTGAGTAACAGCGATAGTTATAGAAAGGCCTTTTGTTCATAGGTCGTGCTCTACTCAATGGCAATCAACAACAACAACAACAACAGGCATTCGTATGAAATTGGACCATTATGATCAGTTAGCCAGATGACAAAACCTGTGTGGTGTGAGCCAATACAGCACACCCGCTGTGGAGTTCAGCATTCACATAGCCAGTGTATTTACTGCCCTGAGTGTTGAATAGTGTTGTGTTGCTTATTGGCAGGTAGCAGATGTCATCCTTGCATGTAAATTACATGCAAGTTAATGGTGAGAGTTGCCATAGAATAGCTATTTGAGTTTTTCCACTTTTACGTATTCTCTAACTAGCTTATATATACTATTAAAGCATATGGTACATTCCCTCTTATCCTTTCATGTGTGTTTTTCCTTTGCAGATTAACTGCCTAAGGAATTGCAAAACCTATCAAGCCAGAAAACCTCTGTGGTTTTATAACACTTCCCTCAAGTTTTTCCTCAATAAACCTATGCTTGCTGATGTTGTCTTTGAAATACAAGGTATGCTTCCACTTTCACGGGATCTGCTATTCGCTTTTAGTTCCTAACATCTATCCCATTCCCATTTTGTAGTTCTGGCTTCAGATACTTTGAGGGGAAGAAGAATTATTCTCTGTGGTGGTTTGTGGAGTAAAAGTGACCAAATTTCTACAAAGTTCCCATGGAAATGAAAAAAAAAAATTCTTTCCTTTGTTGTTTTGCTTTTTCTTACCATATACTTCTTTAACTTTTAAAAGCTAACAAAAATTAGGGGCATCTGTAATACAGAAATGTAATATAAACTTCTGCTCTGCTCATTAATTTATGAGCTTAGATATTTTTAATCCAACTGAAACTGTTGTTGTTGTATACTCTCAAGTTGCTTTTGACTCATAGCAACCC